ATGTTCAACCATTACAAGAGGTAGCATAATCAAGAGCCAATGATCCTGAAGGAGGAAGTCCAAGGTGCATTGAAGGAATTGGCAAAGAACAAGGCACCAGGAATTGATGGAATAAAAATTGAAATCTTTCAAGACAGTGAGGTGGCACAGGAGGCCCTCACTCATCTCTGCCAAGAAATTTGAAAGAGTACTATCTGATCAACTGATTGGAAGAGATCCATATTTGTGGCCATTCCAAAGAGAGGCGACACAACAGAATGCGGAAATCATCGGACAATCACTTTGATATCTCATGCAAATAAAGGTAATACAGAAATGGCTGCAAGCATACACTGACAGAGAACTTCCAGAGGTTCAAGCCGGAATCAGAAGAGGCAGTGGAACGAGGGATATCATTGCTGATGTCCAATGAATCTTGGCTGATCACAGTTGCAATTTTAGTCATAAAAATCAATCAGCCAAAGAACATTTTGTTACACAAAAAAATATTCTTTTATATTGCTAAGTGAAAATAGCAGACCTTAAAAATATATAAGCATGTCTGTGTATAGAAGTATCTCTAGATGATGAATTGCAAGCACTATGTTTTCTTGATCTCTTCCAGGTGGTGGTTGTGGTGTGCCACCAAGTAGGTTCCGACTCATAGTGACCCTGTATAGGGTTTCTGAGGCTATAAATCTTTGCAAGGGCAAGAAAGCCTCATCTTTCTCCTGAGGAGTGACTGGTAGATTCGAATTTGCAGTTGGCAGCCCAGCTCATAATCTGCTACACTACCAAGGCTCTAGGTAATAAAAAATAAAACGGGAGAAATAAGCTATTGGACAACAAATGCAAGCCGGGGCTTTAAAAAATCTGGTAGACCAAAATTTAGTTAACTGAAATCATACCTACCTTTTCCTATCTTTAGAAACTCCTGTTCGGCCTGTGAAGCATAGAGGGCAGACAACACTGAGAAAACAGAGGCTAGCACAGTTTTCTGTTCATGAAGGATGATGGGTGGGTCACCAGACTGGCAAAATTCATGGCAGACCAGGTCAAAAAGGAAATCCCAAATGTCTTTTCCAGTGTCAGGACACTGCACTTGATAGAGAGGATAAAGAAAAAGCCATTTAAAAGCAGGAAATTATCTATTAGTAAATATGTATACAACATCCCCATTAATGATCTTACCAATTGCTTGAATTCCATCATCCACTGTGGTAAGTAGCTGAAAGATATGCATGTAAACATCGAGTCCGTCTAGGTTTTCAGAACTAAATACAAAAGCAAAAACAATGAATGATCAACTTTACTGATGAGGGAATTGCAACCATTCAATCAATAAATGTTAGTTTCTGTGTCAGTCACTGCCCTAGATGCTGAGATTGAAAGAGGGACAGCACAAAGTCTCTATGCTCATTGGAGATTACATTCTAATGGGGGAAACGGTAAAACAAATATTACATAACCAACACATACAAAACATAGAAGTAAAACTCCTCACTGGTCCTGCTCCTTCACAAAAGCAACAACACAGAAACCTGCAACATGATGCATCTGGTTTATTTTTGCTCTTGAAAAAATCAGAATAAAAAATTATCGAGACTTATGGTATGAATATATGACACATTGCATAAAGCATCAACAATACAGCTATACCTCACTTATGGACTATTTATCTGATAGTTCATATTTAAGACAACTTTGAAAAAATTCTCAGGCAGCTGCTCCAATGATCCAAGCCCATTGGAGCTACTCTGTGGCCACCCCAAACTATATACTGAAGGCCCCAGCAATGACTGGACCACATGAGGATGGCAGTGAACTGGCCACAAGACACCTTCTCCTGTTCATCCTCAACATCTTGGTCTGGTCACAGAGGGTGTAGTGCAACAAAAGGATGTGAGGTTGTAGGAAGGCACTATACACAATTTATAAGTCATGTTTTTGTTTTCTCCAAAATGGAGTTTCCTAAGGAAAGCAACTGAATATTATGCATGAAACTGAGATGACTGTGTTTTAGAAAGACTACTCTAGCTGTCTAGGTTTGGAATGGTCAAGCCTAGTGGCAGGGAGTTCTGATAAAAGAATGTTACAGTTGTCCAGGTGAATAGACCAGAGTGGCCAGCATGGATGGGATCCCAGAAAAAAGTCAAAAACAAGGGTTGAAGGTTGACTGGCAAGGCAAGAGTGGGATGGGGAAGAATAAAGGCTATCACATTTCATTCACATTATCCAAATCGACAGTGAATGCATCATTTACTGAGTGAGATAAAGAATACTAAAGAAACAGGTTTTTTTTTTTGTGTGTGTGTGTGGGGGGGTGAATGAATTTAATCACTTGTATTGAGGACAGAAATTAATAGGGTTTACTGCAGTTTATTAAGCACTGTTGTTGCTGTTAAGTGCCATCGAGTCAGTTCTGACTCACAGTGACCAATTGTACAGGGTTTCCAAAGAGAGATGGTAGTTTTGAATTGCAATGTTGGGGTTAGCAGTTCAATGTTTATCTTACAGCACCACACCAGATCAATGCATAAATTAATTTAATTGCCATTTAAAAGATGAATACATTAATTAATTTTTTAGGTGATATGTAATAGTTTTATGACCTATTAGTCATTTTGAAAAATCTAAGAACTCAAAAGTAAGCCATTTATCTAAGATCAGTATATATACCCAAGGAACAACAAAATGATGCCTCTTGCTAATTAAGAAGCTGTGAAGCGTTCATACAAAATAAAGCCCAGGAAAAGTTTCTCTTTAATATAAATTATACAAAAATGCAGATGATTTTATGACAGCAACTGCAATTAGTAATGAAAAATTTTAACCTACAGCTAAATGATAGAGACCAGCATTTTGTAACTATCATGATTCTTACAAAGAGTAAATACATTGTCATTACAAATTCAGTAAACCGAACAAATATGGGGGTGTGCTATTCATCCTGTCAAAAGGAAATGTGTGTGTAAGGATACTTCTAGTAACTAGATTTCCCCCAAACATTCTACACAAAAGGGTTCACCTACCGTACTTGTTTGGCAGCTTCAAGTACACAGCGCACAAACTGAAATGCTTTTCGCTCTTCAGAATCTGTCTGGGGCTGGTCCACAGGCTGAATTGTCCCATTTCTAATCCATTCCAACATTAGTTTCTCATCCAAATCAAAGAGCTTATCTACAAACTCACCTATCTTCACCAGCAAGTCAACTTCAGAGAACAAAACAAATATTGAAATGAGAAACACAAGTTAAACAAAGCAGTACCATTCATCTCAATTCCAAAAGTTCCAAAAAAGTCCTATGTTGATACACAACACCAGAGACAAAATCAAGTATTTTATATTCCAAAAGTCATTTGCTTTTACTTCTACATTTAAATTTGTTGTATTCCTGCATTATTAAATGGAATCCTGGGAGTTTAAAAAGAAACTTTGTATCTTGAATAGAAATATTTTTTCACCTTTCACTTAGCTGGTTTTCAAATTAAAGAGTTTCAGAAATAATCATATGATTTCCCAACAATTAAATTTAATAAAAAATATTTTTTCTAGATCACATAACAACATACCATTTGTTGAACTTGACATGATGAAACAAATGCTATCATAAATAGCTGGATAGTCCCGGATAGTTTCAATCCAGACAGTGGCCACTTCTGTTTGGGAAAGGCAAGTAAGCAGCAACCTACATGATAAACATGAGTTTAATTTCTGCCTTCCAAAACCTGTGTACAAGAAATTCAAGCAAGGAAAAATCATTCCCATCAAGAAGTAACTATATTTTCCCAGATTCCCTTATGAGTGAGTATACGAAACCCCTAACAAGAGAAAAGCATACCTGCTTATTTCCAGCAGGGTAGGAGGGTCTGAATCATACAAACAGTGCAATAATACCTGTCTACAAAAACAAAAATGTTAACCTAATACAGCCCACTTCCCTCTTTCAAAATGTCAAGATAAAGTTTTCATTTAATCTTTTAAACATTTTTATTGTCATATACAGCAAAATTACAAGAAGTCTAAAAGAGACAAATCTACAGTTAATGAATAAACATAAAACAAATGCAAGTTTCTGAAAACAGGGCTACTACATCTCTTTGGTCCTGTGCGCCTCCTACAACTCCTTCTTTCCTACCTAGAAATGACATCCTGACCTTTCCAGCAATCATTCATTCCCACGCTTTGCTCTTTATTTCAGTTTTGCTTATTTTTTAACTTTATTTAAAGAGATTACACTGAGTGTATTTACTGAATCTTAGTTCTCTTGCTCAACACTATGTGAGAATCACCGATGTCGTTCCTTTAGCTGTTGTGTTTTGATTCCAGGCTGCAGAGCAATCTGCTGTATGAGTATTTCTTTTTCCAGACTACTACTGGTAGATGGACTCTTAGTGTGGCACTGTAGCATAAGCACTGGACTGTTAAGCGAAAATTCAGTGGTTCAAACCTAACAGCCCCTACTCAGAAACCCTAGACAGGGTCGCTAAGAGTCAGAAGCAATTCAACAACATTGGTAGACATCTGGGTTAATTCCAATTTTGGGCTGTTAGCAATGTAAGCTGTTGTATATTAATTCATTTAAAATAGGAATTTAATTGAATAATCCATCCCTCTCCAATTTACAAAACTTGATAACACTTCTCACAATCACCTTTTTTTATGTGGAACACCAGAAACCTGAGTTTAATAATAATCCCGAGTCATTTACTCCATGTTGTTGTTGTTATGTGCTGTGGAGTTGGTTCCGACTCATAGCGACCCTGTACAGGGTTTCTGAGGAATGGCATGAACTCTCCACCTTGCAGTTAGCATTCTAGTAATTATTCTACAGCGCAACACCAGGACTCCAGAAATTCCTTGTTGTTGTTGTTAAATGCTGTCGAGTTGGTTCCAACTCAGAAACACTCGTGCATAAGGTTTCTGAGAAACGGTTAGTGGGCGCTTGCGGTTCAAACTGACCTTGCAGTCTAGCACATTATCCTACAGCACCACAACAGGATGTTTAGGGATATGAAATATGAACCGGCTAAAAATTTACTATGTAGTAAGACTTACGCAAGGTTTTTATTACTGCTGATGGACACACATATCTCCGGGAAACAGGCCATGTTGCCTAAAATTCCCACACAGATTTCCTGCAAAATTAAATTCAAGGTCACAATGGCTCTGAGATAAAACACACACGTAAAAAAACTACCACTTGAACAAAAACCTTCCCTACACCCAGAGGAAAGGACAGAGAGGAGAGGTGCCTCTGAAGAGTCCTGGTGACTCACTTCTGGAAAGGCAGCACCGAACACCTCAGAGTACAGTTTTACTCTTACACACATGGGCCCACTGTGAGTAAGAACTAACTAGATAGCAACTCATTAACAAATCTTTATGTTAGTAAAATGACCCCAGGAAAAAAGCTCAGCAGGTTCCGTTCAAGTGGAGCATTCTAGAAAGTAAAAATAGTACTGCAACATTCAATTTGTAAAATATGCACCATTTACCATATACCACAAATTTACCCACTTATTGTATCGAAAACCAGTACAGTGGTTACACAAGGGTCTCACAGGCCTAGGCTCAAATCCCAGCTCCAGTCTTCCCTAGTTGCATGACTTATGACAAATTTATTACCCTGGGATTTAGTTCCTTTATTTGTACAGGAGGAATGATAAAATCAAATACTCAATAAACAGCAGTTATTCATAATTATGGGAGGTCCTGGATAGAGCATGTGTTCAGTTACAGACCTAAATGCTACTCAAACCCACCCAGTGATGCCGTGGAAGCAAGGCCTGGAGAATGGCTTCCATCAAAAGAGCAGTTCTACTCTGTCCCATGGTGGCACTGTGAGTCAGAATCAATTCGATGGCAATGGTGATTGTTGTTGTTTTGATCCATAAAAGCTATTCAACAGATACCTACTAATCACTTATGACATGCACAACCAACGGCAACTCAGATGGCAATAAAGCACAGGACATAAAGAATGAATGAGAGGTACACGTGATTATTCTTGCAAGTATACAATCAGCAACCACCACTGAGAGCTTCCTTATCAGGAGAGGCTAAAAGAAAGGCAGGCAAAACCTAGGCTGATCCAAACCCATTAAGGTCAAGTCAATTCCAACTCAAAGTTAGAGGGTGTGCAAGGAAACTACAGGGATGGCAGCAAGCATAGTAAAATTCATGAGAGTTTTAGACGTGGCTAAACAGGTCACACTCAGATTATGGCAAGTCTTGAGCAACAGGCTGAGTTTAGAGTGAACATCAGAAACCTTTCAAGGCAAATGTTTTGTCAGCTAATAAGAACGTTAACTGAGAAATGAGAGATCAAGGTACTGTCAAACATAAGCAGCATAACTTTAGTATAGCTTTCACCCTATTTGAGTTCCACAGCTGTTAAGTCAAAATATTGATTTCCTAGGCTCAGTCAGAATCTTAATTCTATGACTGGACTCACTTTAAAGAGTACAGTACCCGTTTGATTTTCAATATACACTCACAGACTGATGGGCTGATTTACAGCAAGTAAAATAAATAAATAAATAAACCCAATTAAAGTGAGAAAAATGAAAGACGACCCAGCACAATCTGAAAGGCTTTAGAAATATACATACTTACTCTTAATCGAGGACACTTAGATTTGGTCAATACTCCCATAAATATGTCAGGAACATTAAACTCTTGGAGAAATAAAGCCACATCCTAGAAATAAAAATGATATTGACTTTGTTGTTGTTGTTGTTGTTATTAGGTGCCATTGAGTAGATACCGACCCATAGCAACCTTACACACAGAACGAAACACTGCCCCATCCTGGGCCAACCTCACGACTGCTGCCATGCTTGAGTCCACTGATGCTGCCACTTAGCCAATCCATCTCGTTGGGGGTCTTCCTCTTTTTCTCTGACCCTCCACCTTACCAAACATGATATCCTTCTCCAGTGACTGGTCCCTCCTGACAATACGTCCAAAGTATGAGACACGAAGTTTGGCCATCTTGGCCTCCAAGGAGCACCATGGCTGCATGCTAAATATTCCTCTTAAAATCCCATAACTCCCATAATGCAAAAAAAAAAAAAAAATTCTAATCCTTTATTTTTGGACTCCTGGTGTGGTACTGTAGGCGAACCACAGGGGCAGTAGGTCAAACCCAGCAGCTGCTCCTTGGAAACCCTATACAGGAACTGACTCAAAGGCCCTTAACAACAACATGTATTTTTTGCTGATGACAATTAAAAAATGGTGACAGAAGCATACAGACAGGGAACTACCAGAAATGCATACTGGATTCAGAGAAGAGGTAGTACTGATGTCAGATAGCTCTTGGCTGAAAGCAGATATTATCAGAAAAATGCTTACCTGTGTTTTACTGTCTATGCAAAGGCATTTAACTGTGTGGATCATAACAAATTATGAATAACATTGTGAAGAACAGAAGCTCCACAATACAGGGAAACCTGTGCATAGACCAAGAGGCAGTGGTTTGACCAGAACAAAGGGACACTGTGTAGTTTGGATATGGCGGCTTCAACAAAGGTCTCAATTATAGCAATCATGATGGTATTGCATTGTTAGTACATAGGCAGTGTTTCATTCTGTTGGTACATAGGGTCGCTATGACTCAGAATCGACACCTAACAACAATATATACACCTCCTTTCAAACTTACACAGACACACACAAAGAGAGACACACACACAAACCCCTAGGGTTAGCAACTGTCAATGGACAAATATAACATTAGAGATCTTTGTGGTATCTGATCCCACGGCAATGGAATTTCATAAACAAATATAAGTCAATTGTGATACTCCAGAGAATTATCTTTTTCTGTTCTGAGGACATTTTTTTTTCTTTAATGATTTTTCTATGCACCAGAAATTCCTATTAATGCATTCAAACACATTTGCTGATTGCTAGGCTTCTTGCTAAAAGCTGGAGATAAAAGAGCAAAACTAATTCCTGTTCGCTAAGAGCTTAATACAGGTGAAAACTATTAAATTATGTCCGAAGTCAGAACTTACGTTGGCAAAATCTTCAACAGAAAGGAAATTCTGATCCAAAAGTAACTTTGACAGTTTCACACCTCCTTCCTTGAGTGTATATCCACTCTACAGCGCCTACAGGAGCATACCACACCGGTGTCTGAACCTGGAGTGCAGAATTGAACCAAACTAAGGTAAATGTAGCCTAGAAACATGAGACTCAGAAACCATGGCAGTCAGCTCTGGGGATTGCTTTGCAAACTGTAAGCAAAATGAAGTTTCTAACTGTGCATTATCACTGATTTCCACTAAATTTGAAGTGTACATTTGGAATGCCTTAACAGAAAAGCTACATGGCTTAAGTTAATTTTCAATCTGAAGGATCCTGGGGACATCCCAAAGAAAGAGGCAGACATCCCCAGAACAGCTGAAACTGAGGTAACTGTGTGGCTGTTGACTGGGAGAAACAAACTATACAAGAGGGCTTCAAAAGTTTGTTAGAAAATGGGATTGAAAGAGAATGGAATTTTACCACAAACACTTTGAAGCCTTCCCATACATATTAAGAGATCATGGTTAGAAAAAAACAATGTTTTCAAAGCTATGCCCAGAGGCAGGGCTTGATGGCAGCTAGGGTGGAGGTGCAGTGAAGTTCACTGTCAGCAATAACACAGAATACCAGGTAAAGCAGATCCAGGGCAGTGCTCCAAAACTCAGAACCACAGAGATAGGAATATTTTAAAGGTTTGAAGGCTTATAGCTTATGAAGTCTGGAGCTGAAGTAAAAAATCGCGTACTTTTGAATCGGCCAGGCCAGGCTCAGAGGCCCGAGCCAACATCCTGGGCGAGACCAAGTGGCAAGAACACCACGGAAAAATGCTGCAGGAACCTTGGGGAAAAAGGTGGACAATCTACTTTGTCAGTTTTGCTTTGTTCTGATTTTCTTTTTTTCTTTGGTATCTGGTCATTGGCGTGCTCACTGTTTGCTCACCTCCATTCTGGTGAATAGAGGGAGAGCCTGAGCTGAGTTGGCCACCCCCACCCTCATCACTGGTGGGGTTTTCTGCCACGCATGCGCACAGATACTCAGCCCAAGCGGAGACCCTGAATTTTTATTATCTGTTTCTTTTTTATTCTGTTTTTTAACACGGGAAAGAGAAGGAGAGGGCTAAAAGGAGGGAACGAGAGTTTTAAGGCAAAACAGGCCAAAGGTTGGATTGGAGCCTGAGGTATAGCATAACAATCAACACTGGCAACTTGGAATCTCTCAGGCAGCTTTGAAGGCAGGAACTTGAAGAGAGGACATTAAAGTCATACTCATATTAAGCTATGGTGGTGGTGGTGATGTGCCATGGAGTCGGTTCCGACTCATAGTGACCCTGTACAGGGTTTCTGAGGCTATAAATCTTTACGGGAGCAGCAAGCCTCATCTTTCTCCCGCAGAACAGCTGGTAGTCTCGAACTGCTGACCTTAAGGTTCGCAGCCCAATTCATAACCACTACGCTACCAGAGCACTCCTTATAGATTTTTTCCATTCTTTCTCTCCTCTCCCTTTTCTGTGATTAGAGACTGCAGTAGTCAGTCTTGGTTTTGTTGGTGCTGCTTTTCAGTCTTTTTTTTTCTTCTTTCTCTCATCTTATTTTTCCACTGGTATTGTTTTACTGTTATATGCCCCCCCTTCTGCCTTTGGAGGACTCTTTGTCTCCCTATATTACACAAGAAAAGTCAGCAACTGCTGCCATATAGCCAAGCTACAATCACACCCTATAAAACACCAAAACCCAGACAACAAATACCAACGGCCAGATACCAGGGAAACAGACAACACCTGTGAAAAGTTACTCTGAGTTAAGCAATAAGAAGAGTGAAAAGGGAAGCCCACATCCTAATCACATCTCCCTGGAAGCAATCAGAAAGCATAAAAAATTACCAAAACACATACTCAATTAAGTATTCAGGCCACAGATAAACATTCAACATGTCCAAGAAGCAAAAGCAGATGACCATATCAGCACATGTCCAGAAACAAGATAAAATGTCTGAGACAAATGACCTAGAGGTAGACCTGGACTCCATTCTGGAAGGAGGGCAGGCCTTGGAAAGTCCGAGATGGAATTCAGAAAAATGATTACAGAATGTTTCAAAGACAAGCCCCAAGTTGAATGTCACACAGCAGATGTTCCCCACTATGGGTGATCAAGCTGTTTCTCATATGGACAACTCTTTGTCCATATTAAAAAATAAAAGTATGATCTTTTATTTATTTAATGATAGTTAATAATTCCTGCAGTAATAAAAAGGTAGCTTAATGATATTAACAATTACAATAACAATGGCAGTTAGCAATTATTGAACAAGTATAGAATGACAAGCAGAGTTAAATGCTTTAAATCTATTTCATTTCATTATCACAACAATCCCATGATATTATTAATAGTCCCATTATACCATTACATTAAGGTTTTAAAAGGTTAATACACAAACTGTCCAAAACCATGCTTGTACAGGCAATAGAAGACAGAACCAAGCTGCAAACCCAGATGAATCTGACCTAAAGCCATGCTGCTAACCACCACACACGTTACCTCTCGGGCATGTACTCATTCATTCCATTCATTCTTTATCCTTCACATATTTACTGTAAAACCAAAGTAACACACACAGTTTTAGACCCAGAGGCTACATCAAGTAACAAGTTAGATTAAGTGTCAGGCCAGGACTCTTCATTCTAGACAGATGAGACAGTAAACACATAAAGTAAACTACATGGGGGAAGAGAGATGCCAAGCTACATGAAGAAGGCTGAGGAGCAGAAACTCAAAGGAGACACGGACCTTTCCAAGAACCAACTAAGAAAGCCAGCCTTTCCCGAGTGCTGGACCTCTGAACATGGACTTCTAGGCTCCTCAACAGAGGCTCAAACTCCTGGACTGCAAAGTTGGTTTGAACCGAAAGGTCAGCAGTTCAAGCTCACCAGCCGCTCCTTGGAAACCCTATACAGGGTTGTGCTGAGTTGGAACCGACTCCGTGACACTTAACAACAACAAACAGAGGCTCTGGGGTCTATTGGATACACACTGGACTGCTAACTACAAGGTCAGCAGTTCAAAACTACCAGCAGCTCCACGGGAGAAAGATGAGGCTTTCTGCTCCCGTAAAGATTTACAGCCTCGGAAATCCAGTACAGGGTCACTGTGAGTCGGAACCGACTCCACAGCACATAACAACAACAATAACCAACAACATAGAGAAATGAAAAAGACGGTGTGTGCTATAAACCAAGATAAGTTGAAAAACTTTAGATTTTGTATCAGATAGGGTATTTCTGAAGAGACGGCAATGAGCTTTGATAAGAAGGAACTCAAATCTATCAGGGGACACGGAGACTCAAAACCACCACTGAGTAACAAGAGAAGCATTATGCTACAGAGTAAGGTTCCACTGGTACACAGAAGTAAGAGAGAGTGAGTCTACCTTGAGTGTCTGAAGAAGCATCACAGAAGAGGTGACATTTCATCTGGGCCATAAAAATAGGAGGCTTCTTCCAACCCGAGCGTGGTTATGAACAGAACACACAGTACAGGACCAGGCCAACTCACAACAACAACACAAACATACAAAGTAATCTACAGGGACAAAAGCAGATTTTTTTGTTTTGTTTTTATAGAAGAGGGTGGACACAGGGAAGAGAAGGCATAAAGAAATCTGGAAGATGGGGGTGTTTCTATCTTGATTAAAACAGCGGTTTCATATACCAAAATCTATCAAATTGCACACTTTTAATATAAGCAGATTTTTGTGCAATTATACCTAAATAAAGCTCCTAAAAAACAGGGCTGAAGACATCAGCCACTTGCAATTCTTAAGACAAAAGAATTAAATCTGTGTTTTAGCAAAAAGCATGATCGGGTCATAATGTGAAGGATAGAAGGGAGTAAAAGAGACTAAAAAGGATTTAATCAGGAATCTACTGAAAAAGTCCAAGTAATAAAATGAATTGTTGTTGTGTGCCATAAAGCCAGGTCCAACTCAGTGACCCTGGACAGGGTTTCTAAGAGCAGCTGGTGGGTTTCAACCACCAGCCCTGTGATTAACAGTTTAGTATTTATCCTACAGTGCCACAACACGGCTCAATAAAATGAGAGATTATATAAATCAATTAATCATTTTTGCCACTATTTTCTTATCTGCAAAATGAGGGCATTATCTATGTAAGAGGGTTATTGTGAATATCAAACAGAATAATATACATGAAAACAAGTACAAGTATTAAATTATCATTATTATTACTCTTATAATTGTTGTTGTTGTTGTTTTTAAGTGCCATTGAGTCGGTTCCGACCCATAGCGACCCGGTACAGGGTTTCCAAGGGTGTAAATCTTTACAGGAGTAGAAAGTCTCATCTTTCTCCCGTGGAGCGGCTGGTAGTTTTGAACCGCTGACCTTAAGGTTCACAGCCCGATTCGTAACCACTACGCTACCAGAGCTCCTTTATAATTATTTACACAGAATTCATTTTTTGTCTTTTTCTTCTAAATAGATCATGGTGCATCAGTGGTCTCCCAATTCTTAACCTGTTATCAAATATAAGGATCAATATCAAAACTTGTTGGGCTATAAGCTTTCTAACATTCATGGAGTTGTATCTTTAACCTACACTAAACAAGGTATCTATCTATAGATAGATATGTTGTGTTGTTGTTAAGTGCTGTCAAGTCGGTTCTGACCCATAGCGACCCTGTACAGGGTTTCTGAGGGTGTAAATCTTTACGGGAGTAGAAAGCCTCATCTTTCTCCCACGGAGCGGCTGGTAGTTTCGAACCACTGACCTTCAGGCTCTCAGCCTGATTCGTAACCACTATGCTACCAGAGCTCCAATAGATATACATAGATATAGATATGTATATATGTATATGTTGTAGTTAAGTGCCATTGAGTTGGTTCTAACCCATAGCAACCCTATGTAGGGCTTCTAATATGTGCATGTATATATACATACATATATGTTGTTAAGTGCTGTCCAGTCAGTTCCAACCCATAGCAACCCTATATAGGGTTTCCAAGGAGCAGCTGGTGAACTTGAATCAAACTGACCTTGTGGATCAAACTGACTTTGCAGTCCAGTGCATTAACACACAGAATTGATGCATATGAGTATAGTGTTGGAGGAGAATATTGAAAGTACCATGGACTGCCAAAATAACAAATAAGACCTGTGTTGGATAAGTATAGCCAGAGTGCTCCTTGGAGGTCATGATTGCCAGACTTCTTCTCTCATAATTCGGACATATTGTCAGAAGGGACAAATTACTGGAGAAGGATATCATGTTTGGTAAGGTGGAGGGTCAGAGAAAAAGAGGAAGACCCCCAGTGAGATGGATTGGCAAGGTGACAGCATCAATGGGCTCAAGCATAGCAACAATTGTGAGGTTGGCACAGGACTGGGCAGTGTTTCATTCTGTTGTGCACAGGGCCGCTATGAGTCAGTACTGACTTAATGGCACCTAACAACAACATTACCAACAAACGAGTGTTAGCTCAGACCACCTATCTTTAAAGACAAAAGTTTGGCATTTGCAGACCTCATTCCCTGCACCATACAGAGGAGTGATTACAAACACTAAAGATAGAAAACTGGGGCCTTCCCTAGAGACTGAAGGAGTAAACTTTTAAAAAAATCCATTCACCACCTTGGTACTCAACAGTCTTTTCAGTTTCATTTCCAATACCTCATCCATTGACATATCCCATACTCTGCAAATCTCATTCTCCATTTCTTCATCAAGCTCCATCTGCGGCTCCTCATCATCTGAGCTGGATTTGGTGTTTTCAGGGTTAACAAGCTTCAGAAATACAAAGGAAGAAAAGGAATGAATAAAAGTTACCCATAGTACTTTCCAACTTGGTATTATCTCATAATAGTTTCAAAGTTACAAAGACACTTATCCTTAAAGTATCTTCTCTTGCAAAAATCTCTTAAAAAAAAAAAAAAAATAAATATATATATATACACGCAGAGTCCTGGTAGTAGTGCTGTGGGTTAATGCACTGGACTACAAAGTAGTTTGAGCCACACTGTCAGTGAGTTCAACCTCAGCAGTTGCTCCTTGGAAACCTTATACAGGGTGGCTATGGGTTGAAATCGACTCAATGGCACTTAACAAGACAGGTTGATCTACTCATTCAGTGTTCACAGAGGACTTACCGTTGCTAGGCACTAGGTTAGGGGCACAAAGATTGCCAGATTTAGTGGAGAAAAGACACAGAAACTGATAATCTGAACAGAAAAGGCTAAGTGACTTAACTGAATTGTGTACTGAGAGTTTTGAGAGCAAAACGATTAAACAATAAGCTATGCCCGAGAGATCTGTGCTTGGGAGAAGTTGGGGAAAACACCTCTTAAGAATTGATATTCAGTTAAGTCTGGAAGGAAGAACAGGAGTTTGCCAGGAAACTGATCAGAGGAAAATAGAGGGTTCAGTATTAAGAACAGCTGAGTATGTTTAGGAAACGGTGAAAATTTTAGTGTTCATGGAACATAGACTGAGAAGGCTGGAAAGGCTGCAAAAAGTCTTAGATTCTATGCTAGAAATCTGCATGTTTCTCCTCTAGTCAAGGAAACCTGTAGGATGAACACTGGACTGCGAACACAAGGTCACTGGTTCAATTAGACCAGATGCTCGACGGGAGAAAGATGAGGCATTCTGCTCACGCAAAGATTTACAGCTTTGAAAACCTTGGACAGGGTCTCTATGAATCAGAAACGACTAGATCCCACTAACAACAACAGCAGTCAGGAGAACTACAAGGAATATTGTGAACAGCTTTTTTTCTCTTTCTTTCATAAAAGGAAAATTAGTCTGGCAACTAAAGAGAAGAGAGACTAGTGAGAAGAGAGACTGGAAGGAAGGAAATTAGGAAAAACTGAGAAAAAGAATTCACATTTACTGAGCAGCTACTCATACTGTGGTGGCCTGCGTGCCGCTGTGGTCACCAGGATTTTAAATACCACCAGGGTCACCCATAGTAGGCAGGTTTCAGCTGAGCTTCCAGACTAAGACATACCAGGAAGAAGAGGTGGAGTACTTCAGCGTGTTTAGTCACTGAAAACCTTGGGAATAGCAGTGGAACACTGTCAAACAGCATCAAAATACTGAAAATAAAAACTTTATGAATACTACCAGAATACTGTCAGATACACTGCCAGAAGATGAGGCCCTCAGATTGGAAAGTACACAAAATACAACTGGGGAAGAGCTGCCTCCTCAAAGTAGATTTGACACTAATGACAGGAACGCAGTAAAGTTTTCAGGATCTTCATTTGCTGAGGGAAAACAACTCAAAATGAGGAGAAACAGCTGTAAACATCCATTGATAATTGGAACATGAAATGTACGAAGTATAAATCTAGGAAAACTGAGAGTCGTCAAAAACAAAATGGAACCCATAAAGATTGATATCCTAGGCATTAGTGAGGGGAAATGGACCGGTATTGACCTTTTTTAATCTGACAATCATTCTTGGTAAGGCGGAGGAGGGTCATTAATTGAGAAAGGCATTCAATGAGATAAAGTGGCTGCAACAATGTGCTCAAACTAACAACGATGTGAGTGTGGCGCTGGCCCAGGCGGTGTTACGTTACGTTCTGGAGTAGACACAGTACATACCATACGTACTCCAGAATGAGTCCGACCTGACTCGCTGGCAGCTAACAACACTATAAGTAAAACACAACGGTAAGCACTCTACAACCAACACAATCTCATTTTATATAGGATGAGAGCGAAACTGAGATGCAGCTAGTAGGTGATAAAATTTCAGATTTTCATCACAAAGGTGTACACCCCAAAGCCACCATACTGTACTACAACAAAAGTCCAAAAAACAGATCATTAGGACTAGGGATTCGGCAATGACCATGGGAGAAAGGAGCAAAATGGCCGGTTAATGCATCCAATGGCCATAAATATATTTTTTAATATGCAAAAATAAAATGTGTTACCAGTACGCATTCCAGCATCTTTGCCTTCTTTACACTGAACGGCACCAGAATGGCCCCAAGCAGTTTCGGGGTCCGGCAGAGGCGGCCAGGAAGCAAGGTGTGAGGACCCCGCGGCGCGTGCCACCGAAGGCGTTGGCGTGGGGATAGCGACCCCAGGGTCAGAAGGGGGCTGGGCAGAGACGGGGTCGGGGTGTTTGGGGGGTGAGGCGAGCCAATCCGAAAAGCATCTTTACTTACCTGGATGAGACCGCTGAGGACGCCGAAAAGCCAGTGCTTGCTGTAGACCGTGCTCCCTATGCAGTCTCCTCTAGCCACCTTCTCATCCTCTTCCTCCTCCCTAGTCAGCAACGGAGGAGACGGGTTGCGGTCCATACCGCTACGGTGATCAGTTCGTGCGAACCGCGCCGGAAGTCGCCGAGGAATCAAGAGTCCACCTCACACCGGAGAGTCCCGCACACCAGCAGCTGCTCCTCCCACAGCGCCACCTGCCGTCCGGATCCCGGAAAGGCATGAGGGCCCAGTCAGCCAAGTTTCCCTCCCTTCCCCATGAGCTGATCTCCCCACCAGTGGTATGCACCATATCAGTGATCACAATCATAATAATTTTTGTCAACTGAACTTGACCAGATACTTCATCTCTCCAGGAACTCAGGATGATTGAAAAGACACAGCGCAGGGTAGAAACAGGCCAATGTCTCTGGGTATAGATGTGAAGCTATTAAGGTCTGTTGAATTTTTAACTCATTCTCCAGACTTCTTGGATTAATGAGACTCTGATAAAGTTAAAGAAGCTTGGAAGGTTCCACCTGAGGGCTCCCCTTTCTTGGAATTCCAATCTCCTTTAAGTACATTGGTATCCACATTTCTGAAGTTTTTTAGTTCTGACTTAAACAGACTTTTGAATATATAAATTTAAATGTCTGGTCATTCTGTACACTCTGCTCTTATATGATCTTCTATGCCAAAAGAGATGAAATTTGTTCTGTTTTATTTTTCTCTCATTTAAAGCGCACTCTCTCTTTCTCTCTGTTTCTTATTTCTGATATCCACAAAAACTTCCACCTTTCTCTGTCCTGTGGAGCATGTCTGGCTCATGAACCTTTTCTGAAGCAAAATTAATTCTATAGAATTAATGTTGTCAGATTTTTTGTTTTGTTTTAAACAGTCATGGTATTTTCAGTCACATCACATGCATGTGATGAATCCTGGTGTGGCGCTATAGGATAAGCACTAGGTTGTCAAGTCAGCTTTAACTGCAAGACTAGCAGTTCAAACCCACCAGCTGCTCCTTGGAAACCCTATTCAGGGTCACTATGGGTCAGAACCAACTTGATGGCACATAACAACAACATATGCATGTGAAAGTTGGACAACAAATAGGGAAGATCATAGAAGAATTGATGCATTAAATTATGTCTTAAGTCCGAACTAAAATTTCAAGAAGAATATTAAAAGTACCATGGACAACCAAATCTGTCTTGGAAGGAGTGCAGCCAGTATGCTCCTAAGAAGCCAAGATGGTGAGACTTCATCTCTCATATTCCAGACGTACTATCAGGAAGGACCAGTCCCTGGAGAAGGACATCAAGCTTGGTAAAGTAGAAGGTCAGCTAAAAAGGAAAGAACTGATGTATTTGAATGCAATGAGATGGATTGACAAACAGGTAGCAATGATGGACTCAAACAGAGCAGCAATTGTGGGGATGGTGCAGGACGAGACAGTGTTTCTTTCTATTGTGCATAGGGTCACTGTGAGTCAGAACCAACTTCATAGCACCTAACAACATTCCACATGGGCTTAGTTATTTGCCTTCTCTGCCACCTGTTTCCTAATTTAAAGATATCAGTAGCCAACCAACCAATGGCTCTGACTCATAACGATTCCATGCGTGTCAGAATAGAACTGCAGTCCATTGGCTTTCATTGGCTGATGGTTCAGAAGGAGGTTGCCAAGACTTTTTTCCAAAGTACCTCTGGATGAACTAGAACCTACAAACTCTGTTAAGCAGCTGAACATATTAATCATTTGCATCACCCAGGAACTTGGGTGTGCATGCATTATTATCCTAGGTGTGGTCGGAATCCTGTTGCAGTAGACACTCAGGTAATCTTTTGAAAAACAGGAGCCTGTGAAGTAAAGGACTCAATTCATTTCTGAGAACAAAGAAACCTAAAGAATGTGAATTTGCCTACTAGAATGTAACAAACAAGAAGTCCCTGCCTCATAGCAACCCTGTATAGGGTTTCTGAGGCTATAAATATTTATAGGAGCAGAAAACCTCATCTTTTTCCTGCAGAGTAGTTGTAGGTTTGAACTGCCAACCTTGTAGTTAGCAGCCCAATGCTTATCCTACAGCATCACCAGGGCTACAGACACACACATATATAAGAACAACAACATACTCAAAAAACTCACCTGTCATTGAGTTGATTCTGATCCATAGCCATCCTGTCTAGGGTTTTCAAGACTGTAAATCTTTACAGGAGTAGAAAGCCTCATCTTGCTCTTTCGACATAACTGATGGTTCTGAACTGCTAACTTCTCAGTTAGCAATCCATTGTTTATCCTACAGTGCCACCAGGGGCATTTCTATAGAATAGAGAGAGCAGCGAGTGAGAGTAAGTTGTATATATCTGAGGGTCTTTTTCCCCTTTTCCGCTTGTTTTAGTAGGTCTGCTTTATCAAAGAAGTTCTGATGTGATGCTGTAGGATAAGCAGTGGACTACTAACTTCAAGGTTATTAGTTCAAACTCACAGCTGCTTTTTGGGAACCCTTTGCAGGGCTGCTGTGGGTTGGAAATGATTTGATGGCACTTAACAACAACATTATATAAAAGATTACAATGGCCCTTTAGTATAAACCAGTTTCCATTTCAACAATCTACTACCAGCTCTAGAACCCAAACCCAGTAAGTTTCCAATAGGCATTAGGGGTTTTGTGATCAATGTATCTTCATAATATGAGGTGAATTAAACAATCAACAAATATTTATAGAATGCCTGCTCCACCCACCAATGTCTTCACATAGAAGAAGCATTAGACAAAATCCCTGTCCTGAGAAATAGTTACATCTGGTGGGGAAAAGAATCTGTAGCCAAGTTCTAGATTCTCACTTTTGGCTGTCTCTTTCTGCAGAGGCCCCTGCTAAACCTGAACTGCTGGTCCTTCCTGCTGAGTAGATGTAACTGGTGCTGTATATATTAACATTTTCCTAATGTGACAAATGGGAAGAGAAGTATGCAGCAAAATAACAAGTTTGGGACAATTCTTGACCAGAACACAGCATCCAGAACATCAGAGTTTTCCTTTAACAGACCAAACTTTCCCAAATTGTGCAATATGGCAGCTTTCAGGAATGTAGCAACTTGGTGTTCTCTGCCCATTTCCAGCTGGCATTCTTGTGGGAAAGAACATTTGGAGGTTTAGCATAGTGGTTATGCATTGGGCTGCTATCCTCAGGGTCAGCAGTTCGAAACTACCAGCTGTTCCACAGGAGAGAGATGAGGCTTTCTGCTCCTGTAAAGGTTTACAGCCCCAGAAACCCTATACAGGGTCACTATGAGTGAGATCCGACTCCACGGCACATAACAACAACAACAGCACAAGCACAAGAACAGGACTCCTTGTGTGGTGCTATAGGTTAATGCACTGAACTGCAAAGTTCATTTGAAACAAGGTTGGCGGTTCAAGCTCACCAACCACTCCTTAGAAGAATCGCTATGAGTTGGAGCCAGCTTGATGACACTTAACAACAACAACACAATAACAGGAGTTCTGGTGTGGCACTGTAGGATAATGCACTGGACCAAAAGGTTGATTTGAACCACATGGTCGGTGGTTCAAACTCACCAGGCACTCCTTGGAAATCCTATACAGAGTCGCTATCAATTGGAACCGACTCAATGGCACTTAACAATAACAACAGAATAACCTGGGCTCCTGGTGTGTCACTACAAGATCAGCACTGGACTGTGAACTACAAGTTCGGCTGTTCAAACCTACTGGCTTGATGGCACTAAACAACAACACAATAACACACTAAAATGCACTATCGAGTAGATTCTGACTCATAACAACCTTATATAGGCCTCCTGAGACTCTAGATCTTTACGGGAACAGATGGCCTTGTCTTTCTCCCTTAGAGCAGCAGGAGGTTTAGAACCACTGACCTTGTAGTTAGCAGCTTAACACCTATCCCATAGTGCCACCAGGGCTCCTTTAATTTTCTGTGAAGTGTAATCAATATTAGAAAGAAATTTTCATTGTCTAAAGAATGTAAGAATGAAGGGCAAACAGAATAACTGGTTTCACTACAAGGTAAAGTTGGGACCCTGGGGCACAAGAGTAGGAAAGGAAGGAGGAAGGCAGGGCTCATGGGGGTGGGCTCAGCACTGCAAAAGGAAGTCCTCCAGGCTCACAGTATATTCATGATCAGCTGCTGTTGAAGATCATAATGACAAATTATATTTGGGGATGCTGTTATCCAGAAGGAGCAATGGTGGCGCTGTAGAATTAGCACTGGATTGTTAACCACAAAGTCAACCATTCAAACCCATCCGTCACTCCTCAGGAGACAGAAGGCTATCTGCTCCCCTAAAGAGTTATGGTCTTGGAAACCCTATTTTGGGTCATTATGAGTCAGAATCAACTCAGTGAAAGTGGGTTTGGTCATCCAGAAGAAGCTCTGGTGGCTCAGTGGGTAAGTGTTCATCAGTAATCAAAAGGTCGGTGGTCCAAGCCCACCAGCAGCTATATAGGAAAAAGATGTGGCAGTCTGCTACTTGAGTCAATTCCAACTCAGAGTCATTCTACAGGACAGAGTAGAATTGCTCCTTAGAGTGTCTGTGACTGAATCTTTAAGGGAGCAGACAGCCTTGTCTTTCTCCCTTAAGGCGGCTCATTAGATTGAACAGCTGACCTTTCGGTTAGCAACCCAACACTTAACCTATGACACCAGCAGACCTCAGTCTTGGAAACTCTATGGGACAGTTCTACTCTGTTCTATAGGGTCACAATCAGTCAGAATGGCCTCAACGTCAGCAGGGTTTTATGGGTCAAACAAGAGGGAGTCCCTGGAGAATGCAATCAATTAAGCAATCAACAACCGATCTATAAAGTTCAATGGCTCAAACCCACCCAAACACTCCTCAGAAGAACTTGTCACAATTCTTTTACTCCCTTTGAGACATTCAGTGCTGGAAACCCACTCCTCGTTGTCGCATCTCATTTGGAGGAGTCTCTGTTTTTCTGATAGAAAATATTAGAGGACAAACAAGTACAATTTCTAAACACGAAGAGGAACTGCTCACTGGGAATTTTACAAGTAACACACGCTCTCTTTCCTTGTTACTTAATGCATCCCGCCTTCTG